TCAGTTTGTCTCTGAACTTTCGTTATAATAAAGTTTAATTTGAATTCAGCTGATGAAGAGAGAAACATGTCTGTAGCACCAGACCCTCAGTCACTGTATTAATTCTTCCTCTACCACCTCCTCCCTCCTACTCCTTGTCTCCATAGCAACGACCAATCCCGTTTCCAGGAGGACCTGATAAACATCGCCCGGACCACCCTGTCCTCCAAACTGCTGACTCACCACAAAGACCACTTCTCCCAGCTGGCCGTCGACGCCGTCATGAGGCTGAAGGGCTCCGGGAACCTGGAGGCCATCCACATCATCAAGAAGCTGGGAGGCAGCCTCACCGACTCCTACCTGGACGAAGGTGAGGACAGGTGTCTTTACAGCTCAGGCTGGGGTCTTCTTCTTCTCTGATTGGTCGCTGTAACGCCACGTGTGTTTGTGCTCCGTCCAGGTTTCCTGTTGGACAAGAAGATCGGAGTGAACCAACCGAAGAGGCTGGAGAATGCCAACATCCTGATCGCCAACACCGGCATGGACACCGACAAGATCAAGGTACACCCCACACACACACACACATACACACACACACACACACACATACTAACCAATGGCTCTAATACAGTTTATCCTGCAGCTGCTTCACAGTAAAATCACTTCACAGGAAGACTTTTATTGTGAAACAGCAGCAGCTAAACCATTGAACATTAAAGGGGAAGTCGCATTAAAGTCCGTCTGTACAAACACTTGTGATGTGGCCTGAGTCCACGTGTGTCTGGTCTGAAGACACAGACCTCTGTTGTTCTTGTTGACTGTGTGTTGGCTCTAAGCGTGTGTATGTGTGTGTTCGTGTGTGTCAGGTGTTTGGCTCCAGGGTTCGCGTGGACTCGATGGCGAAGGTCGCCGACATCGAACTGGCGGAGAAAGAGAAGATGAAGGAGAAGGTTGACCGGATCCTGAAGCACGGCATCAACTGCTTCATCAACAGGTACAAAGACGTTTGTTTGTGTGTGTGTGTGTGCGCGTGCATGTGCATGTGTGTGTGTGTGTCCTCTCATTGAATCTGTGCTTCTCTCTGCAGACAGTTGATCTATAACTATCCAGAGCAGCTGTTTGCTCAGGCCGGTGTCATGGCCATCGAGCACGCTGACTTCGCCGGCGTCGAGCGCCTTGCTCTGGTCACCGGTATGTACACACACACACACACACACACACACACACACACTCACACTCAGTGTGAGGTTGCCCGACTTTGCAGTAAAGTTCTTGTTACTCTTGTTTTGTTTTTTTCTGTACAGACCTTTTGTTGTTGTCTGTGGTTTGTCACGTCCTGCAATTTCAAATAAATTCACAAACAGATACATTTTTGTTACTATTATTACAAACTTCAAGTATGAAACTAACTAAGATTAAAAGTGGAAAAACAACAGATTTCACAGAACTGACTTAAAAAATAAGAAAAGTTAGTAGAGATCTTAAACTGAGTCATTTACAATTCTTAAATTTGCTTTTAGAGCTTAAATGTTGGTTTGATAAACAATCAGTCGATCCACAGAAAAACAACTAGAAACTACTTTAACAATCTGTGGATTTATGGCAAAAAATGCTCCAAAGTCTTTTTTGTCTGTGGCAGGAAGTTAGATGTTTGTCAGTTCTCAGTGTTTCCTGTTTTATATACCTGTGTAGGCGGAGAGATCACCTCCACCTTCGACCACCCGGAGCTGGTGAAGCTCGGCCACTGCAAGCTGATCGAGGAGGTGATGATCGGAGAAGACACACTCATCCACTTCTCTGGAGTCGCCATGGGTACGAACACAAGAAGGTCACTGCAGCTGATGTGTGTGCGTGTGCTTGTCACTGAGGCTCTGACCTCCCCCTCTCCCTCCCCTCCCCCCCCTCAGGTGAGGCGTGCACCGTCGTCCTGCGAGGAGCGACTCAGCAGATTCTGGACGAGGCGGAGCGCTCGCTGCACGACGCTCTGTGTGTGTTGGCTCAGACCGTGAAGGAGCCACGCACCGTCTACGGAGGAGGTACACACACACACACGATGATATTTACATGATTTTAATTTTAATTTTAAAATAAAACAAACATTGAAATCACTGAATTAGAAATTATTAAACTTAAAATCATGCTGGTGCTTCATCAGTGCCACATATTAATTGTTTTATTAGATCATTGAAATAAATTACATATAAATTATTCTTATCAGCTGGAGATAATTTATATGAATGGGAGGTCACGGCTTAAAAAGGTTAGGGGAACAAAGTTATTTTTCATGTGGCACTAATCGCCCCTCATACATGTACGCACCCACTCTGACCTGCCTTGTCCTGGCTCCTCCTCAGGCTGCTCTGAGATGCTGATGGCGAAGGTGGTCACTGACCTGGCCAACAGGACGCCAGGGAAGGAGGCAGTCGCCATGGAGTCGTTCGCCAAGGCTCTGAGGATGGTACGGACCTGCCTCTGTTCTCTTTCAAAAGATCATACAGTGGTTTTACTCTCCTTCCTGTTAAGTGCGAAAAATTTAATGGGAACCAGCTTTTATGAGGATCGATCTTTTAGTCGTTTCACAAATGTGTTTCGGTGTCTTTTCTGATGAATTGTGACATTTAATCAGCGGCTCGATCTGTTATTTTAGAGTCCACTGAGGGAAGTACGACCCTCGTACAGTTTGGAAGGTTTTTGCCAATTTTGATGAATGAATATTTCTCCGTTTCCTCCTCCAGCTGCCGACCATCATCGCCGACAACGCCGGCTACGACAGCGCCGACCTGGTGTCTCAGCTGAGAGCTGCTCACCAGGAGAACAAGACCACCTTTGGACTGAGTGAGTTTCCACCACACTGTATATAACTTAATATCAACGCCACAAGTTCTAATCTGTGTCTGTAAAGTCCGTTGTCACCGTGGATTTGTGACGTTGGACGGTTCAGCGTCTTGAAGCACTCAAGCCTTTTCTTCAACAGACACATGAACCCAGCAGATTAGATCCTCATCAGCCGGTTTTAAATGAACGCTGACGGGTTTGTGTTTCCCTGCAGACATGTCTGAAGGCACGGTGGGCAACATGGCAGAGCTGGGGATCACAGAGTCGTTCCAGGTGAAGCGCCAGGTGCTGCTGAGCGCCTCCGAGGCCGCAGAGATGATCCTGAGGGTCGACAACATCATCAAAGCTGCACCCAGGTCAGTCCGTCACCCGGGTTTCATGTGTCCTTCATGTCCTCCGTTTTGCTTGCTTGTTTGTTATGTAGTTCTTACTGTTGTTGTTTGTTTTGTAGGAAGAGAGTTCCCGACCATCATCCCTGCTAGAGGAAGAGGAGGATGAAGAACGGGGGAGGGGATCAGTTTTGTTATTTATCACCTCTGTGTAGTTCAAATTTAAAGAAACGCTCCGCTGTTTTTTTTCTCTGTTGTTAAACTCACTGTGGAAGCACTGTACAGGCTAGCTGGCTAACGCTAGCTAACCGTCAGACACAACCCTAACCGCAGCGGCTCTAATGCTAATGCTAGCAGGACAAAGTGGCTAAGTGTGAAACTTATGTAAAACGTTGGTCAGTACAGTTTGTGATGCTAACATTAGCTGAGGTCGCAGCAAGTGCTGGAGGCTGGCTACGCTAACGTTAGCCAGTTGGTGCCGACGACACTTAGAAAGTACGTTTGGACGTTGTTTTTGTTTACTGAAATAAATGAACCAATCTTCATCAGTAGATCTGTTTGTCGTCTTCGTTTTTGTGAAGTTGTGTTCAGATATTTGTCACTCAGGACCGACGCTGCCGTCCCTAAAGCCTGAAGAGAAACCAGTGTGACTTTTTTTTTTTCTCCAGCGTTCAGAGGTCAGAGTGACCGAGACCTCAGAGTGTCAACACACTGAAGTTACTCAACCGGCCTCTGCAGTCCGTCGTCAGGGGCTCAAGAGTTTGTTGAACCACAGTCGAAGGGAAACAGAAACAGACACGACTGAGTAGTTACTATAGTAACTTTAGCTCTGTGAAGCTAACCTGCTCGTTTTCCTTCAACAAAGTTTCTCTCTGTCTCCTGCTGCTGAAGAAGCTGCTGACACGTTTTATTCTGAAAAGTCAAATAGGCTAAAAATATCTCTTTATAGATAAGACACTGATCTATGAAGTGTCACTTCTCACAGGATTGGACCATTTGTGATCACATGGGAGATGATGTGATATTTCAGAGTGTGGCTGAAAAAGATTTAAAAACTGAACAAAACGTTTTATAAATGAGATTTTGAATATGTTTTAACATTTGTTCACATTTACTATATGTTGAAATATAACGATATATAAAATATGCTGTTGAGCAGGATTTTTAAATGTAAAATAGACACCAAAATCATGAGAGTGCTACTGGGTCAAACAGGTTTAATTCGTAGGTTTGTAAATATCAGGGAGCAGCACTTTGTCCCCATCAAGTTACAGCTGAAGAAATCTATTTTCAAGTTTAACAAACAGTAACTTTATCCTAAGTTAAAGACATAGTGCTGAATAATAACTGATTGAACTACGCTGAATAAAAGGTACTCGTTTTAATGTATTGACTCTTCACAGCAGATTTTTCAAGATAAATGCATTAAATTCACACATTCATATTTCAGGCTGGTGAAGTTCAGCTTGTTAAACCTGTTTTCTGGAATGAGATGTTAGTTTGTCCATAAAAGCGTTAGTGGCAATGGTAATTTTACTTATATTGCTCATTTAATTACACGTAAACTCAATGTCCTTTACATTGAAGACAAAATATATATTGTAAAATATAATATTGCACTGGTGACAAGTGCTAATATCAAGCACACAGACTTTTTTTTATTGTTTTATTGTGGCTTTTTATTCAACAGAAAGTTTCAGATGCATCAACTTTAAACTTTGTCTTTAAAGAGTTTTTGGGGTGGACTTTCTCACACTGACTCAGATCCAATCAGAACATCAGTGAACCCTGATAGACTCCTCGACATGTGCCGAGCTCCAGTGTGACCGACCGACCGACTGACGGAGGAGGACAGACATGTTCAGGCTGCTGGTGCTGGTGCTGGTTCTGGTTCTGGGGCTTTGGACATGGATGAGTTCAGCACTTATCAGGTAGGAAAAAATACACCTTTAATGACATCAGTGTTTCTCTTTATAGACCAGTTGTTGTTCCTTATTTATCGTTCCAAATTATAGATTGAACTTGAATGAATGAATGAATGAATAAATTGAGTTCAAGACTCATGTCAGGCTTGTGACTCATGACTTTACTTTTACTCTCTGTTTAATTTCAAAATCAAAAAATTCAAGCTTGAGTTTGTTTGTTTTATTCCACCAAATCAAAGTTAGTTTTTTAAGGTATTTTTCTGATTTAAAATCAACACTCAAGCCAGTAATTTCAAATCCATGGTACTGACCTATCACCACCATCCACCCTCAGGGTCCCTCTGAGACGGGTGCGTTCGATTCGTTCCCAGCTACGAACCGAAGGCTTGCTGGAGGAGTTCTTGAGGGATCACCGCCCTGACATGTTCAACCGCCGCTTTGCTCAGTGTTTCCCGCCCGGCACGCCGTCGCTGCGACTCGGACGCTCCAGCGAGAAGCTCTACAACTTCATGGACGTAAGGACTGCTGAGGGCAAGAGGTTGCTGGTGTAAACTTGTTGCAGTATCTTGAATTCCCCACCGGTGGTCAGTGTTGTCATTTTCTTAACGTGGATTTGTTGTGGGGACAAGATACAACTGGTGTTAAATGAGGGTTCTGTGCCTTGCTCAGGGTCTCCTGGCATGAAACCGGCAACCACTTTGTTTACCCCAAAATCACACTGTGGGTCTGTGTTGTGTGTCAGGCTCAGTATTATGGAGACATCAGTTTGGGGACACCGGAGCAGAACTTCTCTGTGGTTTTTGACACCGGCTCAGCTGATCTCTGGGTGCCGTCGTCCTACTGCGTCAGCCAGGCCTGCCGTACCACAACACAACACAACACAACACAACACAACACAACACAACACAACACAACACAACACAACACAACACAACACAACACTGTGTGTATCTGTATTTATATATTTGTAAGAGTTGTGTTTGTTGGTCAGGACAACATGACTCTGGTTTAGCATGTTCCAGACTGTGATAAGAAGTTCAAGGTCTGTGTGTGTGTGTGTGTGTGTGTGTGTGTGTGTGTGTGTGTGTGTGTGTGTGTGTTTCACAGTACTGCACAGGCGTTTCAGGGCGTTTGAGTCGACTACGTTTCGTCATGATGGTCGGATGTTTGGGATTCACTACGGATCGGGACACCTGCTGGGAGTCATGGGCAGGGACACACTGAAGGTCTGTTCTAATCTACTCTACTCTAAGACTGTATTCCCTTGCAGACAGTTGCAAAAACACTAACTTATTTATTTGAAAACATCTGGTCTAGGAAATCACCTTAAAAAAAAGAAATGTATATGATGTACAGCTGATTCTGGAAATCTAAAAATGTCAGACAATCAATTCACAGTCCAATTTCTTAAAATCATGCCAACTTCAGGACTCAACCTCAAAAGATTAATTGTTTGTGGGTAAAAGCAACGAGTTGTCTTCTGGTCCAGGTGGGTACACTAACCACCCTCAACCAGGAGTTTGGGGAGTCGGTCTACGAGCCTGGTACCACATTTGTGATGGCCCGGTTTGATGGTGTGCTGGGGATGGGATACCCATCCCTCGCAGAAATCCTCGGAAACCCTGTTTTCGACAACATGTTGGCGCAGAAGATAGTGGATGAGCCAGTCTTCTCCTTCTACCTCAGCAGGTACAACTTCACCAGACGAATATCGTGACTGTTTTGAAGTATTTATACAGGGACCCAACAAGGCAACCAGTCTGGGTCCAAACGGTCTAGGACAGTACGGGAAATGAATCTGCTGGTGTACTTGGTTTGATTGATATCCTGCAAAATCTGAGTTTAGCACAGTTGCGACACATTTGGTTTTAAAAGGTTTGACCGAAATCCAAGAAGTGCATGGGGTCGAGGGTTTTCACAGGAGTCAGGGGGTCATAGGAGGTCCAGGGGGTTTTAAGGACCTCCGAAAAAGATTTTCAGTGTTTAAGGAAGGTCGAGAGCAGATATCAAACCATCTGCCACAGAAGACTGAAAGTACAGGTTTTCACCCCAACCAAACTCCAAGTTTTTCCACCACAAGTTGGTTTTTCCTCTCTGATTTAGCGTATGGAGATGAATGAAATCTGCTGGTATGAATTTTGATTGGACTGATAACCTCCAGACTCTGTGGAAATGCTGTGAGACATTTGGTCTAAAAGGGATTCAGGGAAATCAAAGACTTGCACGTGGCAAGTTTCAGTGATTTTACAGGAGTCGGGGGAGGGATTCAAATGCCTCAGTGGTGTGATAAGAAAATGTTTTGGTTTCCTTGACTGATCATAAACTTAAAAAGTACAAATTCCATTTCAACTCAAGTGTTTTTTTTGTTTCTATTTTTATCTCTGCAGGAGAACAAGTAGTGGCAACCCAGAGGGTGAATTGTTGCTAGGTGGAACAGATGAGTCGTTGTACATCGGACCAATTACCTGGATTCCAGTGACTGCTAAGGGATACTGGCAGATTAATATGGACAGGTTTTATATGTTTTTACTATTGTGATTCTGACCAATTAATGTTTATTTATATTGATTTTAATCTTAACCCCAAGTTGAAGCTCTAACCCTGCACTAACAATCAGTGCTGATTTTCAAAATGTTTTTTTTCCCTGTTTTTGGTGGCACCTTTGGTGACGAGCAGTAACAGCTGTTGACCATATCCAACATCGCAGTTGTGTGTTGTCATAATTTATTTAGGGCTCCAATTCATGAAAAGAAAAACAAGAATTCACACACCACTAAAAAAATATTGATGTCTACGTATGTTTCAGTGTGGCAGTGCAGGGTACGAGTTCGTTTTGTCCTCGTGGTTGCCAGGCGATTGTCGATACAGGAACCTCCCTAATTGCCGGACCGACCAATGACATCCTCAACCTTCAGCAGCTGATTGGAGCCACACCCACAAACATTGGAGAGGTACAAAGAAAAGAATTAGATAGATAGATACTATATTTATTTAGGGGAAATTCATGATTAACTTGTATAATCTAAATCTCATATCTGATGGTGTATAATCTAATTTGACCTTTACGTGTTTGTTTTAGTTTCTCATCGACTGTGTCAGGTTGTCCAGTTTGCCTCATGTGACATTCGTCCTCGGAGGAAAAGAATACACGCTGACTGCTGAACAATATGTTAGGAAGGTAACTCATTGTCTGTTTGTGGCTGTCTCTTGTCTTTAGCCAGTTATCCAAATATGCTTTTTATTTTTGTGCTAGCATGAGGCATTAACTTTGAAGTCCACACTGTCTCCAAAGGAGTCTTAGATCCGCAGGGTTAGGTCTTTTGGCAGTTCCAGAAGGTTGATCAAACTTTTGTTGCATTGACACCGTAGCTTTGAAACGGTCCTCCAGTTAGTATTTGATCTGCTGACCTTGTCTCTACTTTTAAATCAGACCGTAAAACACATTTTTGCGTTCATGTCTGAACACTAGGTCTACTATAAAATCTATGTTACCACAGGGTTTCATTTATTTAATGTTTTTATTGAATGTCCTTGTCTTTGCAATGTTGTCATATTTACTCTTCTCATACTCTGGTTATTAAAAATTCTTTATGGCATGGTCTTTGAAGAGTCAAATGTTTCAGGTTGTCTAAAATTGGAAAAATGTTCTTTCCTCAGATACAAACTCAAGTATTTGAAAATTATTTGTTCTGTAAATACGGGTAGCATTTAAATTCTTAAAAAATATCGCTCTCTCTCTCTCTCTCTGTCTTGGTCTTCAGGAAATGCTTGGCGACAGGGAGTTGTGTTTCAGTGGATTCCAGGCTGTGGACATTGTTTCCCCTGAGGGCCCTCTGTGGATTCTGGGAGATGTATTTCTGACAGAGTACTACACTGTTTTCGACAGAGGACAGGACCGGGTCGGTTTTGCACCTGCTAGGCACCCAACCGAGCAGTAACCCATCAATACCTGACAGCTGTGTGATCAATAAATATATGAATTAAAAAGAACTCAACATTCTGTTGTACTTCTTGGTAAGGCACCAACACAAATTGTTTACAATTAGCTGGCAGCCTTGTGCTTCAGTCATCCACCATTTTCTGAACTACTTTGCGACCTTCAGCCCAATCATCGTTGGTGATCCATCGACAAGTCAGTCATTTTATTTAAAAAAGTAGCTTTTGTTGATTCAGCAGCAGCAGCAGATAGTGTATATTCATTACTTCAGTCACATTTACAAATACAGACAAAATAACAGTCATCACATAAAGACAGAAAATTTTGTTCTAGAAAATATTTAGTTCTAGAAACCCGTTAACAATCCTGAGCACCAGTACTTTATCATATTGGCATTCACATCAGTTGAGTCTTGGAGTCAGTACACAAGTGTGTTCACCTGCGGCTCCTCTAATGGCCACTGGGTGGTATCCAAGAAAAATCTGACTGTGTTGAAATGAATGGGAAAGCAACCAACAACCAACCCAACTTTTGTCCAGAAATACAAAGTCAACAAGTTCAGCTCACTGCTAATTTCACTTCTTCTATTGACAGGTGTCTCAGCCTTTCTTGCTAAGGTTGTTGCTTGCTCTTCCCACCTCTTTTGCCCAAGTTAGGATTTTTATGAGTGTTATATTTCACTATAAATGATTCTTTTGTATCTTTTGCATTCTTTCGTATACTATCTTTGGCTTAGAGTTAAGGTTTTTTGTCTCCAATAACAAAACTGGAAACAAGTAGTAAACTGAAATCCCAGGCAAAACAGTCATGGTTGGCATGTCCAGCTTCCCAAGCATTTGTTGGTTCAAAACAGCAAAAATAAAACTTAGAGCATTCCTCTTGGTCAAAGGTCTCTGAGTATTTCCAGTTTCCAGCTCAATGAATGGCTCTGTTTGGTTCTGTTTGGGCAGTTTTATGTTACTGAGTGAGTGGTTCTCATTTCTTTTCCGAACTCTGTGAAAGGGAGTTGTTGTCTTTGACTTCATCGCTGTTGTTGGTTCCTTCTGCCTCACTATCCTCAGTCCCTGCCATTCCCTGGAAGTTGTGGTCAGACTCAGGGTCAGGGAGCTGCAGAGTGTCAGTAGGTGGACCGGGTGATCTTCGGGATTGGAATCGAGCCAGGCCTCGTCTCCGCCTCCCCAAGGCCTTGGGGCTTGGCAGGCTGCGTACTGATGCCTTTGACGACTGTCTGGAGAACTGAAGGGAGAACTGCCGCCCTCGTGGCCGAGTTGATGGGGGATTTTGGGCAGTCGTCCAACGAAATTCCTTTGGTCCCAGTTGAGTGGGTGAATAACAGACCGAAGAGCCGGCCCTGGAAATGCACAGGAAGGGGAAGTCAAGGGATTGGATGGGTAGGATTTTGAGATTCTAAGGAGCAAATAGAAGTATACTTAAAAAAGAGACCAGCTGTGGTTGTTGTGGTGTCATTTCTGTAAACCCATTATCTGAAGACCATAGCATAATGGTTTCAGTATCACCAGAGTTGGACAAACAAGGGGTGGTCCCTGGAAAATAAGCCGAATATAATGAATGAATCACCTTGGAGTTTCCAAGCCTGCTGCGTCCTCAGTGGGGGAATGATCCAGCCCATTCTGAGGTTTTTCCACTTCAGCGTTGCCGGAAGAATCCCCATTGTGACGGACATCACAAAACGGCGGGCTGACGATGAGCCGGGGGAAAACAGCAGAGGGTGAGCTCTCAGGCGATGGTGGGTTGCTGCTGACCTCCCTCAAGGTGGACAAGGTGTCCATGGAAGACGGGGGTAAGACCAAGGAGGAGGGAGGAGGTACGTCATCTACACCTGGATTGAGCCTGGATTAAGTGAAATTAATTTCAGAATGACCAACAGGAAATACAATATATCAAGTATTAACTACAGATGTTAGCACAGGCAGAAGCTGTTAATTGCCTGAAGACATAACTGCGGTGGAATGGGAATTGGCCAACGGGGACCAATGCTGCACCTGAAGTCTGGGAAGAAAGTTCCTGTTGCATCACTGCTGTGCCGTTTGAAGATGGGTCGAGGGGGTCGGAGGTCAGGAGGCTCCTGAACGCTCAGCAGCCGTCGGACTCGACCGAGAACCTGCAACATTAAAAAAAATAGGGCTTTGTAAAAAAAAACTGAATATAAACCCTGTCTTTATTAAACCGGACGAAGACCATGTGAAGAAGACATGTCCAACTGACACAATAGTTTTTATTTAACAAAGAACAGAAAGCCATACAATTCTCTACATATTTCTATTTTAATTATAAATGTATATATATTTATATATACATAAAGTTTAATAAAGCATCATATACTGATAGACATAGTGATAGTGATAGTGACATGGTAGGTTTATAAACAATTCTGCATCTACCTCTTCATGGTTGTCTTCTTTATGAATTAAAAAATATATATACAGGAATAAAAACATAACCTTGTTGGCAGAGTTAGGAAAAACGTTGTATTACCGACTCTTGGCGACGAGGCAGAGTGGGGTCGTGTGGCCGTGGACGACCGTCGCTGATGTCACCGTCATCAAACTGGAGAATGTCCGAGAGTCTGGAGACATTGGATAAAGTTTTTCATTGAAACAGCCAATCACATTGCGACAATACAACGTTACTGAAGCTTGGCTTGAGATAACCAAACCCAACAAGTTCACTCCATAATGATGATGAAGAGCACGCCCTCTAGAGGATTGTAGCTTTACTACAACAGTTACCAAACCACTGATAATTGGCTTATACCAATCAACTTGCTAGGTTAAAATAATCCAGTGTGTTTTATGTAAAATATGTGAATGTGTGTGTTCACCCCATGTCGGTGGTGGAGCCAAGGAATGAGGGGATGCAGTAGTCGGCAGCAGCCAGTGTGTACGGCGGGCGAGCATCGCAGTCGTTCCAGTACATGTCTTTGGTCATATGAGGCAGGTTCATGTGCATCTCATCCACAGCCAGCAGAGACACCTGGAGGATAGATAGATAGATAGATAGATAGATAGATAGATAGATAGATAGATAGATAGATAGATAGATAGATGCAGTGATCGGCTGCTAACCTGAAGGTTCCTGTCGATGATCCAGTTTGCTTCAAAGTCGTCGTCGTCCTCTCCAAACGGGTTGATCAGCTGCTCTGCTACCTAACAGTCACACATAAATCATAACTGGTATTCAAGCACTTGGTGTAAAGATGTGACCCCACACACAAGTACGCATCGTTTGGAACCGCTCCCATGTTAATGAACAATATATCCAAAGTTTTACAGGCTAGATTTCATGTTTGTCAGAGGTTGAACAACTAATTTCTTTCAGTACAGTCTGTACAACTTTAGTCTCAGTACTTGTGAGGCTTTTTTTCCGCTCAACCTCATCCAGTGTGTGGCTCATATCCACCACATAAGTTATTAATAACATTATATGGTGTGTTATTAATATAACAGAACAAGGTTGAGACATAGGTCAACCACCGGCCTGTTTATGTCTCAGCAGGAAAACAGGATAGTCATCTGATTTGCTGGTGTGTGATATTCTGACATTTTATTTTCAGATTGTTATCTGGATCTGCACCAAACTGTACAAAGTCATAGATCTCAACACCGTAAATATGTCTGATGTTCTAGATCTACACATTATTATATGTCTGTATTTCACAATTTCAAGGAAAGAGATACAAATTTCCTTGATCCACCACTTTAACCAGATTGGTACCAAAATTGAATGGATTCGTCCCCGGCCTACGCCCCATCCCTGCATCCGGTTTGGCAAAAATCAGTTCAATACTTGTTGTGTAATCCTGCTGACAAACAAATAAACATACAAACAGACAGTAAAAAATGCTCACTTAACAAATAAATGGAAGGAGGAAAGAGGAAATCTAAAGCACTTTGTGGGAACTATTTTCAGCGGCGGATTAATTCACATTTGGAGTATTTGGTGCAGAAATATAGTGTGTGTGTGGGTGTGTGTGTGTGTGTGTGTGTGTGTGTGTGTGTGTGTGTGTGTGTGTGTGTGGCCCAGACAAATGATAAATGTCTTGTTGTTGTGGGTCTGCTCGTGGGATTTATTGGCAGATTTTGTTAATCTCACCTTCAGCCAACCGGCGTAGAAGAAGAACTGCAGCAGGGTGAAGACGGGGACGTAAAGGTCCAGCTCGTGACCTTGATGACGCTGTGTGGGGTCGAGAAACTGTCGACCAATCAGACAAGCCAAGAAAAAGGTGTAGACAGCAAGAGTGACGACCTGAAGGTAAAAGAGAAAGAGAAAATACTGTCCATCCGTCACTCTCTCCCTCCCCTCTCTCTGAGGGAGATTCAGAGCTCTGATTCAGTTACACTAATGATGGAGGATGATTGCTGATGTGATTAGATGAGCTACATCCGTTTTAAACATGATACAGGGCGGACCTGTGTGTAGACCAGAGGGATGCCGACCCAGTCGTAGCCGAAAAGAGTTGCACACCAGGTCCTGAACCGATTCATCTCCTGAACAGAGAGAAGAGACAGAAATTCAATAGGGTTGGAAGTTTGGCACCAGCTGCCTCACCCCAGATTTCTGTGATTCAACAGGCTGATTGGAAAAAGAGTCTCACCCTCCCCTTTGGGAGTAAGCTTGGGTGTCGCATTACCTACATGTCTGGTTTATGCGGTCACAGACTAACAGGGATCGGGCTCTAAATTGGCTTTGAAGGATGGACAAGTGTGTGTTTTGAGTGCTTAAGAGCCTCTTTCTCTCTGACAGGATGTTTGTACCATAATGGGACACTTCACTTTTGCACTAATCTCATGCCAGAGTAGCACTTGGGGACTGAAGCACCTACAGCCAGCCCAGTTATGCCCCTACAGTCGGCCCTTTGGTTGTCCCAAATTACTTTTTTGGGTAGTTTAATTGCACTTAAGGCAAAAATGAACCCCAACCCTAATGGCATAGCTACAATGCTGACAGACCAGACTACAGATGATTGATACATGTCATTTCAAACAAAACTCTGGGACCTGTACCTGAGATCTGTACGTTTCCTTCACAAAACATTCACATTTATTTTTAATAAAGCATTTGTATTTGCATTTCCAAAGAAATCCAACCTTGAAATGGTGATTGAACTTTAAAAACTGCACCAAAAAAGCTGAGGACTCAAACAGTCTTTTAGTAACCCATCTGGCAGCTGCATCTGCAGCCTGATATCCTGCAAAGTGAAGCAGGTTTAGCAGATAGCGCCGGTGTTTTGTAAAACTCATAAGTCCTGTGTGTGTTTGGGTGATAACAGCTGTTCCACATGATCTGCATACAGAGTAAAAATCCTTTGTAGAAACAGCCCGTTTGCAGTTAATAAAATATAATCCAGTTCAGGGTCGGACTCTTTGGCTTTAGAGTTAATTTAGAGTTTTGTGTCTTGGTTTTCTGTTAATAACTTTTTCTTGTGTTACAGTTTTTTAAGGAGCAAGTGTTACTACAGCAAAGTGGACTGTACTTTTGTTAGCCTAGATATTAGCAGTTAGCAGTAACAAGCATTTTGTGGTTTACATTCTGACACTGGTCTTTTCTTCATGTAGACAAATAATTTTGATAAACTTTTGTGCACAGTAGTATGACAGGTAGTAAGGTTTGTTTATTTTTAGGCTATAATTAATGAGCAAGGCGTATTTTCTTTGTGAGGGAAGTCCTACTGCTAGCAAAACTTTGCTAGCATACTGATCCGATGTGGGATGTTTAGTTTAATTTTTGACATTGCCCAAATTATTCAGATAAGAAATGTTAATTGTTAAAAAATAATGTTTTATCAACAGAAGTACATTAACTGGTTTTGTTTTGTTCTACTAGTCAGGTTTTATTTTTTTTTGGACGCTATACTATTTTAGGTTCGATAAGCTAATTTTGGTAGCAAAGTCTTTTAAGTTATTTTGTTCAACCCTCTAAATGTCTAAACATTCAAACGTTAATATTTTTGACACAGAATATAAAATATTTGATCCCATTCGTCACATTGAGAATATTCTGCAGGTCGATGCTGTCTTGGATGCGTCCCTCCTGTCGAGCCTTAGACGCCAGGTTGGAGAACCAGACCACCGGGATCCAGTACTTCAGGTGAGGGGAGCGGATGTTGTCAAACACCTTCCTCTCCTCTGGAGTCATAAAACCTACAGGTGAAGAGACAAGCAGGTGGAAAAACTGTGATTAAAAGTGATCAGCGGGAACAGCAGGCTGGAGGAGGAGCTTCGTCAGCGGCGGATTTCGTCAAACTGAAAAAAGATGGATCAGACCACAGAGCTTTACATTAGAGATATTTTAGAAACAGACAGACTCAAGATTCAGGTTGTGTTGTCGCAGTCTGACGTTTTCACTCGGGTCATCACCATCGGCTCTGCTCTCCTGCAGCTCTAATTGGCCGATAACAAGACGGTCCCTGGGGCCACATCAGACGGTTACGGGAAGGACGAGATGCAGTCGGGAAGGAACTGAACTCCATCTGACTTTCTTCATTTCAGACACACTGACACAGCAGGGACCTCAACACACACTGGATACACAACACATCCTGCGCAGGATTGGCTTGGAGGGATTACTGAACTGGTTTGAACATTTCTGTACATGCACAAAACTGAGTCTGTTGTGTCATAACCCGCCCGTGTATATCTGGTTTCAGTCAAACTTTGCTGAGCACACACCTGCCTCCACCACGTGGTCCATGGTCGGGAAGCGTTTGCAGACGGCCGTGCTGACGGAGCGGAAGATGAGGAGCGAGGTCAAGTTGACGTAACGCACCATCGTCCTACGCAGCAGGCGGCCATATTCATCTTTACCCTGGACACAGCTGGAGGAAAACGCAGCGACATAAACAACATGGCGTAAATACCGGCTCGGTCTATTGATACGTGCTCTTCTCTTCATTTCATAAATGTGACCTAGTGACCGTCTGTGCAGCTTTTAACAGGTGGTCTCTCTAAAGAACGTGATCCTGAAGTGAAGATCGTGTGGAATTTGTTAGACAGATAAGCAGCCTCTGATGTCGCTAATGTTAGCCTCATAAGCTACATAACTACCTAATGTTTAAATTAAATTACCCTTGCTCATTCCACACTGTAGATCTTCACCTTCTGAATGTAGTAACATCTGTAGATCACATTCACATTGAAGCTGTGGTGGAGAACAGGCATTTGTTTCACTCGTTGCTCTTTTATATCTTAACGGTTTTTAAGCCAGTTCACGAACCGCACATCTTATTCTGAGAGTTGTTATAAAATACCTGGAGATGTGGAACATGAGTCTGTCAGGCCAGGGCAGGTTAACAAACTGATTCCACCATCGATTCACCACCAGAGTCACATAAAAACCTGAAACACAAGCAATAAATTCATATTAATTCAAATTAATTCATATCAGTGAAAACTATATATATAATCAATTTAAATACACACATTTCTTATACTGTAAAACAAGCAAAAAACATTTTGATATTTTATATGTATAATAATAATATTGTATGTTAAACGAGCACACAGAGACACAGAACAACCACAGAGATGCAACTACTGCAAAACGGCCACAAACAATTCAGCTGCATCGGCCCTGGGGGGTTCCTATATAGGAGGGGTGGGGGCTTTTTCCATGTCTGTGCCCGGGGACTCATTGTCTTATAATCCGTCCATGTTTGGTAGTTGTTTTGTTTCGTTTTTTTTTACAGCGTATTATGACTGAACATGTATCATATTATACATTTTGTTTATTATACCGGATGTTTGAAGTTATTTTCCCCTTTGCACTGAGGGAAAATGAGGCTGTTTTCACATGAGGGAGCATACAGATAGTGTGTGTGTGTGTGTGTGTGTGTGTGTGTGTGTGTGTGTGTGTGTGTGTGTGTATGTATGTGCGTGTGTGTCTGTGTGTGTTCTCTCATCAGCTACACAAGCACTCATCCTGCTTTTAACCCCTATCTGCTCTGTAATGATCTGTTTCCATTAGCAGCCTGCTAATGAAGCAAACACTCCATCTATCTGTTCCTCGTGCTTCTCAGGCGGAGAGCAGAGTCACAGCTAGATTTTTGTTTTTTCGTAAACCTCTAATTTACATCCATTTTCCTCCACTTATCCGGGTGCGGTCGCAGTGGCAGCGGGCTAAGCAGGGTGTTCCAGACGCCCCTCTCCCCTCCTGGGGGATCGTGAGGCGTTCCCGGGCCAGAAGGTCATCTCCCATCGCCTGTATTTTATGGACTTTTAATTCAGTTCAGTCGTTAGTCTTCAGGTAGTTTTTGATCACCACATCCTGAAGTATCCAAACACAACACTCATTTGTCAGTGAGTGTGTAGTTGAGTGTTTAGCCCTGGTCTCAGAGGACTAATATTAGCCCTTTCTTTTTCTGTGATAATTAATAACAACACATCCAGGATCACCTGGGATCACCTGTGGGACGCTGTGGCCTTGACTTGCAAAGTATTTTAGGATCCTCACATCACTGCGACAGCTGTCAACACTAAATTAGTTCAGACTTGTGGCTCCAAAGTGTTTTTCACACTAAAGCTCCTACTGCAGGCTTTATGTTCCCTTGTTTATTAAACCACAGGTGTTAAGTTAACTACCTGGTCAAAATAACTTCACCAGGGGTTGAACCTACAACCGTAATGGACGATGATTTAAACGTACCCTTCTTGCTCTTCTGGTAAGTGGTGATGGTTGAAGATACACCCAGATGTTTCCAACATTAACATGTTTTTTAATGTTTTACTGCATCACATTTTAGATTAGAGTTGAATACTGTGAATTGAGATCCAGGTATGTCCAGGGAATTCTTGCCCAAACCTGTTCCCTTTTCCTTAATCCATAAATACCTGCGTGAAACCAAGATTTTTGTCAGATTTTGTGTTTGTGTGTGTGTTCACCTCGGACTCAGACTTGTGCAGTTACTGAAACAAAATGGTCTTTGCATTTATTTTAAGAGCTTTACTTACTAGTGACATTTGGTGAGTACTCAGTGCTCATGGGTCAGACTACATCCATCTTCGAAGTTCGATTCTTCGTGGTTTGCACCTTCGTAGCTCGAACTTTCGTAGTTTAAAAACCTTCAAAGTTCGAACTTTAGTTGTTCAAACCTTCGAAGTTCAAATCATTTTCAACGTATGAACCCTTGTAGTATGAACCATTCCCAGAAGCATGTTATTGCTTCTGATTATTTAACTAACTGTTCAGTAAGAAATGAGGATGACAGTGTAATACAGTCAGTTCTATGACATACAGAAACATCTCTAGGTAAGTCAGGAAACTGTACGAACCCAGGACGAAGGTGACGGGGATCTGCTCTGCATATTTGTCACAGTACATGGAAAGTTTCTCAAACAGTCTCTTCTGATTGTCAGAGAGGACGAACCTGGAGGACGGAAGACACAGAGGTCACAACCAACAGTAACTCATGGACAACCAACTGCAAATAAATAAATCAAAATGTTGAGCATCTATTTTTTACATTGATTTCTCTGTTAAGATTTTAAGAGCTCCGGTGATGGAAAGCAACCCCCTTTTTTTTGCTGTTTCTATCACTTTTTTACTTCTACCAGGGTTAGCATGCTAACCAGCTAGCTCTGGTCGGACTGGCCCATCTTGTCACTTTCCGATACCGAGTCATTGCAGCGTCCAGTCTGTCTTGAAGTAGTAGCTCTGCTCAGACGACGTCTTATAACCTCTTGTCTTGTAAATGCAACAATGGCTGAAGCTCTCGGCCAAACTGGTAAGTTAACAGCTGTGTTATGCTAACGCTGGCTACGTAGCAATAGCAATACTTGCATTTAGCCAAAGCTTACAAAAAGCTTACATAAACAAGAGATTTACCCTTTTCAAGTATTTATTATCATGGTCTTATTTCGTTACAAATATAAACCTACAGCTCTGACAGTGAGGTGATAACAGTGACACAAATTTACATGGATCACATGCTGCATTGAGTCCTGTGAATCCCTCATGACCTGAGCACTACAAGTACAAAACTACAAAACTACCAGACTGTACAGAGAGATAATTACTGAGTTAAAAGTAAAAAATAATGCAGACCCTAGAGGGATCACAAATGGAGTATTATAACTTTAAAGAAAACATTTGTATAATGCACAGATCCGATGTGCTCCCTTTCAGGGGCTTCTCTTGTGTTGTGTACTCTTTGTGTGTGTGTGTGTGTGTGTGTGTGTGTGTGTGTGTGTGTGTGTGAGACCTGTATACGAGGCTGAGGATGGTGTAGAGCAGAACAAACAGGGTGAACTCTCGGTACAGCAGCTTGTAGATGCTTCCCTTCCAGCGCAGCAGCAGCCGGTGGAAACTGAAGAAGGTGGCGTTGGCAACTTTACTGGAATAGGTGACAGTCATCCTGAGACGACCTGAGACGGACACACAAACAGATAAATCTGAACAGTCTCTCTTTACTCTGATTTTCCAGTGGCAGCCTGGGTAATTAATTCCTTATTGTAACATTACAACAATTGTTGTGAATCTAATCATTCATTGTTGTTATATTCCTGGTGTTTTACTCACAGAAAAACTCACAGACGTCTTCGTTTTGCCTCAGCGGTGCTTTTCATCAGGCTTCTTCTTTCCTGATTTGTTTTTGCCAAGTGCCAACTAGCCACTGCCGCCCCCCTCCATCTCTCTCTCTCTCTCTCTCTCTCTCTCTCTCTCCCACTCTCTCGCTGATGCTCTCTCTCTCACTGTTTCTCTCCCCTATGATGCTGTCCAGTTGCCCAGTAATGCCAGGCAGCACACACACACACACACACACGCACGGGTTCAGAGTTATATTGATGAGCTGGCGAACTAAATGTAGTCATGTTTCAGCTGTGTGCGTGTGTGAGTGTGTTGGCATAGAAAGCAGTTGAGGTAAACATGTATAAACAGAAACAGAAGCGCTGTTAGACATGACATGATGTCACACCAGTAAGTTCAGACCAACCAATCAGAGAGAAGCAGCATCATTAATTAATTGTATTTTGTTTTTACTTTTCAAAACTAACAAAAGAAGGAACATAATAGTAATCAAAATCTGGAAATAAAACAACGAAGATATAAAGCTTCTGCATCAATGGAGTCAAGTAGACATATCCATTGTGTCGCTAATGTACCCGTGCTAACTGTAGGGCAGTGGTAAGGAAACAGCGATCTGCGAGCCAAATTTGGTCCTCAAAAAATACAAAATACTATCTAATAAAGAAAGTTGTAATTTGATGATCAAGTAACACCACTGGTCAGCTCAATGCCATGTGACTTAGTAAAGAGATTACACCATTGGTCGGCTGGCTGAGTGTTGGAGTTTCCCATTGGTTGTTGCTCTTTCAAAACGATTAAGTGCAAATTTTCATCTTTGTTGCTAGATTTATTGACTATTCAGACCTTCCTTTAGAGAGAGAGAGAGAGAGAGCGCGTGTTAAACTTGTTTTCTTCACAATTTTTGAATAGAAAATCACATTGAAAAAAATATTGGGAATCTTATAAAGATCATTATTGGACATGTGCAGCACCTTTTTTTTTTTTTTTTTACAAAAGTTAAATTCTTGGTTTTTGAATTTCGCTATTGTTAAAATATAATGCAGTATTTTTTATTATTTCCCATTTAACTATGCAAATGCAAATTATATAATAGAAACGATAAAATAAAATAAAATACAATAAAATAAAATAAAATAAAATAAAATAAGAAAGTCAGCTGTTTGTCCACAGGTTCCCTTAGCCTCCAGACCAGCAGGTGGCGGTAATGCGTCATTTCTTTGTTTCCAAACGCCCTCACAACATCAAGAGGAAGGATGACGGCCCCCCCCCCCTGTAGGTACGTGGCTCTGCCGTGTTTCAGCGCTGTTCTGCGGTCAGTTTCCTCTCCTTCCCCGCCTCCCTCTGTGCGGTGTCGGCTGCTCTCAGATCACCGTTGCTCCGCCCCGGAGGAAAGCTTTGGCGGTAAAATCGAGCCGTGACGCAGAGTCCGTCAGACTCGGGTCAAATTGCAGAAGCCAAGAAATCAGGTGAGTCAGCCCGGTTTAGTCTTTACATGTTTATTTGTGTCGCTGTTCGTGTTGTCATAAACGTGTCTGCCATTGTTAATACACCGTTAGCTGTGTGGAAACACTGGCACTGCAGAGTTATTGTGTTAGCAAACAATCAATGATGCGTTAGGTTAGAAAACACGTTCCCACAATGTTAAAACTAACATGTGACTTATCCGCATTAAAATATCTCGAAACGACAAGTCTTGTGTTAAATATTTTTTTGAATTTTATTGACATTATCCCCGTTATTTTAATCACTATAACGGTCCAGTTTGATTTGGTCGCCTATCAATGACGTCATATTCCCTTTACGGAGACGTCAGTGTTGTGTTTGGGTGCTTGGAGCGTCAAAATTTACTTTTTTATCCCGTTTTAAGTCACATTTTAAAGATACACGTTTAAGAAATTGGTTGTTTTTAACTTTTGTTTGTCTGTTGATTAAGGATTTTAGTATTCAGACGTTTGGATCTTAAGTTATCAGAGAAACAAGCTGAGTAAACACTCGGCTACACCTAACAGCATTGGAAAAATAGATAGATAGATAGGTACTTTATTATAATTACTGATTTTTAACATGAAGCTGTTTTATTCAGTGTTTTTACTTTTAATTTAATTACCAGGTCTGCTTGTTCAGGAGAGGAGAAGAACTCTGAATAATTCAGCTCCTGGTAAAAAACCTCCTGAACATTTGGATCATAATTTATCAGAGAAATAAGCTACGCAACCGTCAGCAGCAGCTCAGCTCGCAGCCCCTCCAGGACGAATTTTAACATCAAACTATTTTATTTATAGTTTTTTTTACCGGTAAAAACCTGAACGATTGGCACTGAAAGAATCCTAACCGGGAGTAGCTGGCTACAGTGACAGTAATAGTGGTAAAGACAACAACTCCCATGATTCCACGCTACTTCACAACATCACCAAACCAAATGATTCTGGAAAAAGTGGCCCTCAATTAAACTGAACTGTTGACCTCTGCTGTAATAACGCAAACTGAGGTTGATGAAAATGTACTTAAATTACTAAGTCACCTGCTTAAATTTCATTATTTTTATTTTTCAACTCATCACTTCTTCTGTTTTCTCTGTCCTGCTGTTTTGTCTTGTTCTTCTACCAACAAAACAAATTTTGCCAGACTTCAGTTTATGCAAATGAACAAATAAAAATCTGAAGGATCAGTAAACACCTGTCTGACGACCTGTTCTTCCTCTGTTCTGCACATGCTCAGAAGAGCCATGCCGTCCAACGTGGAGATCAAAGCGAAAGTGAGTGACATGACGCAGTTTGCTGAGAAAGCGTCCAAGCTCAGCCAATCGGAGGGCACGATCATCAGGCAGCACGACACCTTCTTCAACTGCAGCCAAGGACGACTGAAGCTACGAGACTTTATGGTAGTTTTAATGACCTGCTGGTTGGGCAAAAAATTTAAAAAATAAATTAAAAGTAAAAATTAAGGAAAACTAAGAAAACAAACAACTTAAAAAAAATAAGAAATAAAATTATGAAATGCTTATACATAAAGATGAGAAATTTAAAATAATTACATAAAATAAATACAAAATAATAATAGATAAAAAAAACATACAAAGTTATTAGTCTAGGTGTAATACTGACTAATTTGTTTGTTTGTTTGTTTGTTTGTTTGTTTGTTTGTTAGAACGGCTCAGGTCAGCTGATCTTCTACGAGCGTCCGGACACTGATGGACCCAAACTGTCTCGTTACTCCATCAGTCCGACCAATGACCCACAGAGTCTGCGGGTAAAACGCTAACCTGTGTGTGTTTCAGCAATAATATGTGGATAATCATTCAGGTTACTCAGTGTGTGTGTGCACGCGCGTGTATGTGTGTGTAGAATGTTTTGTCAGATGCCCTCGGGGTTAAAGGCGAAGTGCGGAAGGAGCGTCGGCTGTTTCTGATTGGTCAGACCAGAGTTCACCTGGACACAGTGGAGGGACTGGGACACTACATGGAGCTGGAGGTCAACACACACACACACACACACACACACACAAATGCTAAAACAAGTTTGATAGTGATCGCCATCTTGGCAGTGCCCGACTCCGCCCCTAACTCCCGGCTAATCCAAATATGGGCAAAGAGGAGGGGCATGTGTGAAGCCAAGACTTCGGCGCATGTCAGCATGTCAGTTTGTGCTCACCCACCTGTCACTTAAAGAGGCCACGCCCCCAATTCTCCATAACTGTAGTCCTTCATAAAATGTAAACAGGTGAGTTATATAAACAGGTGTCATGAAGGAGGAAATTAGCTCTAGAGACCAAAACAGTTTTTGTACCAGGCTGTAAACATGTTTATTTCTGCTGTAAAGTTGGACATTTTAACATGGGAGTCTATGGGGACTGACTCACTGTTGGAGCCAGACTCTAGTGGCCATTAGAGGAACTTTGACTTTAAGCTGAAATTGTGTGAGATTTCCCAGTGGAGGCGAGAACACAGGGAGCAGCAAGTTACAGAGCCGAGTCAACCAGAAAGACAAAGCAGGTGCGGAGAAACTGTGTGAACCTGAATGCAGCAGACTGTAAACCGACCGACCGCCTCGGTATAACCTGTGTGTGTTTGTGTGTTCAGGTGGTGATGCGACCGGAGCAGACTGTTGAAGAGGGACAGCGGGTGAGTTCAGACTGTGCGTTAAAGAGTCTGTGGTGATGACATATGAACCAGGAAGAAGGTTTGATCAGCGTGTTTCATTTGGTGGTGTGTGTGTTTTTTGTTGTTTTTTTTTTAGGTGGCGGAGGATCTGATGCAGCAGCTGGGTGTGTCTCAGCAGAGTCTGGTTACTGGAGCGTACATGGATCTGTTACTGAAGGGACAAAAAGACAAAACAAACACTCACCTGAACTGAAGACGGCGTACAGCAACGACTGAACAGTATGTAGAGTAAACTCATCATAGTACAGTATTCATACAGTTACCTACAAGCTGCGTCCCAATTCGGGGGCCGCATCCTTCGGTCGCTGCACTTGAGACCCATTACGTCACAGCAGCGCGACACATTTCAAAGGCTCCTTCAAAGAGTTGGGTTGTCAAGGTTGCTAGGTGACAGGAACTGCGCTTTGTGATGTAATGGGAAGGGCGGGCCACAGCTGGTGACACAAACCGATGATCCTCCGTAGGCTAGAACGTTTCATTTCGCTTCGGCCGCCGTGGACCGCGTCCCCCGAAGGATGCGGCGCCCGAACCGGGACGCAGCTACAGTAATCGCACTGTAACCAGAGCAATGATTATAGTAGAGTCTGCTCTGCTGTAGGAGGATTAGAGTATTTAGTTTTTATACATTCTCTAAATGTTTTCTGACATCTTTAAGTCTGGAGATAAA